TTTACTATCCTTGCCCAAGTTAATGCACTGGTACACCTAGTGAAATCTTCTCAGGCTACCCAGTTCAAAATAAAACTAAATGATTGGGAGTTACTTGCCAACTTGGAAGTAGAGTTCTTTTAATTTTCTATCCTAAGTATTTAAGTTCTCCAGCATGAATTATCTGGAATCACAAACTAAACAATTACCTAACCCCAACTTTTAACTGCAAGATTATGCAATGCTTCAAACTCATTTAGATACCAGATGTTACAATTAAAAAATCATCTTTTAGACACACATTTAGCCAAGATCATCCCCAAGAAACAATCTATAATAACCTTTAAAATAGAGAGACCAGATAAGAGAAAAATCTCTCCAGGTTTTTAACTTCCATTTAATTATGACTCCTATCAGTGGCACCATAGATTTCCCCATGAGTGGACCAGATGTTTTCACATAGGGGCAATTATAGGTGTAAAATCAAGGGTCTCAGTGTGACTGACTTTACTGCATTCAGTGTCCCTTCTTTTTAAGTGGACAGAGATGGAGCAATCCTTACAGTGCAGGAAAGGATGAGGAAATTCCCCAAAGCGAAAATGGCTCTGGCAGCTGCTGGGAGTGCCTCAGTTTCCCTTTTACTTACAGGATTAGCTCCTTTGGATAGATCCAATCCCAGGCAATCTGGCATATCTCCTAACTTTCCAGTAGAGTCAGTTTTTATCTGCCTTAGGTCTTGAAGGGGGAAGGGGGTATGTACTTTGATCGGCCCAAATTTTTCTCTTGATTCTTTTTCCTCAGTGAATCCAAGATTTTTTCTCTTCATGGCAGATATCATAGCTAAGTCTACTTTACACTGTTGGCATAATTTAGGATTTTCCGTTAGAGCAAAGAAAATCTGAACATACAGCACCTCACACCATTTCCTTTTTTGTAAATTTTATCAAACTGTAAAATTGTATTAAAATTGATATTTCCCTCTGGTGGCCAGGTTTCTTCATCAGAGAGTTTGTATTGAGGCCAGGCCAAGAAAATGAGGCGCTTTTTCTTGAGCGTCTGAGGTTCAAATTTATCCCAATTTTTCAATACGCAGGCTAGTGGTGCACCTGGCGTATTGGAGAGAGAGAAGCTCCCGTCTGAGTGAGAAGAAAACAGGACTCAGGCGCCCACGACGCACCAGAGAAAACTGTTCTCATTAGGGACGTCTCCCTAAGTTTGAGCTTCCTAAACAGTCCAGAAAACCCGTCTCTCACCTTGCTTTGCCAAGGGGTTTCTGGTCCCCTTTAGCAAAGTGCTAGGGTCTCAGTTTGCCCTGTGCCAGAGACCCTGGGAGGATTCAGACTTAAGGGCATTACTGCTTATCCTCCCAGCCACTAAAAACCCATTGCAAAAGAGAAACATGCGCTCTTTTGTTGCCTTTGCTCTGTAGACTAAAGGAGCCGCCTAAGTGTTAAGGGATATCTACTGGTTGTAAGGTAGCAGATTACCGGAGGAGTTGATTCTAAAAATGCCTCTCTAGTAGCTTAAAGAGAACACAGCTCATTTTAAACATTGGGGTGGTAAAACAGACTAGTTAAAGTTACCTATGCATCTTAGGGAACCTGGGCAGATTTTGCTAATTATCCCATGCCTTTCTCTCAGTCCTACAACCTGAATTGCTAACATTTCTGACCTGCGAAGGAAGGGGAGCATCCAGGAGGAATGGATGCAGGGTTGGGAGTGTTGCGTAGCCCATATGGAGGCAAATGTGATTGGGGCTTTCCCTCAGTGCCATTCATCTACCGATCACCCTAGATACCCCTGAGGGCTGTCAGGAGGGGGCTCAAGAGAAAGGAACCTTAGGAATCGTCTGAGTGTAGCCCAGACCGGAATTCCGCAGTTGTTCCAAACTCCTTCCTCCACCTCCACGCATCCCAGGCAGATCGGGATTCGGGACACTGTGTACTCACGCCAATTGCTCTCCAGGCCCAGACAGGAAAGTTGGAAGCGGCTTTGGCAGAACCCAACATGCCTGCTCTGTATTGAACAGGTGATTGAGAGCTGCCTAGGCCGGGAAACCTCTCACTTGAAGAGTGGCGGCTGCACTAATTGCGTTTAAGTAGCCGTCGGGTGCCCACCTTACCCTCCAGAAAGAAAGAGAGAAAGATGCACCTCAAACAGACATGGGGTGCGTGCACTTACCTCGGTGTAGAATCTCGGTCTGGGACCTCCAATATGTTACCGCTGTTGACCGGTGACGAGTTCTTGCTTCCCCAATGTTGAAGAATAACACCAAAGAAGCACACCGAGGCAAGGTCAGAGTAGAAATTAGAAGTTTATTAAAGGACAGCAGAAAAGACTTCTCCCGGAGGAAGAAGGGGACCCAAGAGGTGGAATCCCCCAACAGTTGCTTCTTAGAGCTCATTTACTTTACCCTGTCATCCACATCTGAGACAGTTGATCTATGCCTCCTCTTTGATATTCCTCTCTCTTGGGTTGCCCCTAGGTTTTTTTTTTAATTGACACATAAACTTCCTAGTTTTATGTTCTGTCTTTTCTGGTCTTTTATTTTTTCTCTCCCTCCTTCCCTTCTTTCCTTCCTTTCCTCCTTCTCTTCCTCTTCTGTCTCCCTGCACTCTAATGTTGGAGTGCCCAATACTCATTTCTTGGACATCTTTTCTACTTCTGTCTTTTTGGCTGTATTTCTTTGTATTGTTTTTTTAGTTGTTGCTGTAGGGATTTCAGTGTAGTCCAAACTTTCTCAAGTCTATTTATAGTTACCATTGTACATTTAACTCAAGATGCATATAAAGATCTTGTAGTTCACAGGTCTCTCCTACTTCCTGTTTTCTAGGTTACTGAGTTGTCATGTATTTTATACCTATATCCACTGAAAACCTCACCACTGTTATAACTTTTACTTTAAACAGTTAAAACTGAAAAAGTATTTTAAATTTCTTAAGAGGGAAAAATATTTGCCAATTCCAATGTTCTTTTATCCTTGAAGATCCAAGTTGGAAGATTTTCCTTCCAATATTTTAAAGATGTTGTTCTATTGACTTCTGGTCTCCATGGCTTCTGGTGAGAACTCATGATCATTTGAAGGCTTATTCTCCTGTTTCCAAGGTTTGGTGGTTCCAATTACCCATATATTAGATTTTTTGGATAGCATTCCACAAGTTCCTGGGGCTCCATTAATTTTTTTCCTTTTCATTTTCTTCTCCATATTTTCCTTATTAATTTATGTTGGTTTGTATTTAAATTCACTCACTCTTTCCTCTATCATTTCCATTTTGCTAGTGAGCCTGTTCACGAAATTTTTCAGATGTTGTATTTTTCAGTGATAAAATTTCCATTTTATAGTTTTTGTACTTCTATTTCTATTGTTTTATCTTATAGTTTCTATTTTATTTATTAGAAAAAATATTTTTCTGCTGAGGTTTTCTATCTTTTCATTAATTTCAAATGCATTTTATTTTATGTAAAGTATAATAGTTGCTTTAGAGTCTTTGTCTGATAATTTTTCTTTCTTGGTCATCTTGTAGTTTTCCTCTATTGATATGTTTCTCTATATGTGTTCAGTAATTTTTAATTGTGTTCTGGACATTATACTCTTATGTATTTACTTTGGATTTGTGTAGAATTTTATTGTTTTGTCATAGTTAGGTTCACACTTTAAGTTTTATCTTGCCATTTATGTGTTGTATTTTAAATCTTAGATTAGTTTCTTAATCCTTGACTATGTTGGTTTGGGTCTGCCTTCCTATATGTGTACCTAAGTCTAGTCCAAGACTTACTTATATGAATGTTTTAAATCTTGGTTCATTTTTGAAAGCCTCTGCTAGGCTATGTTGAGTTTCCCCTGCACTTGTATGACTTAGGGGTTAGACTGAGGTGTCTGTGAGTTCATATACTCACAGCTGGAGGACATTTTTCTGAGGTTCTCTTCCCTTTAGACCTTCCTCTCACATCTTGGCCACTTTAAACTCCTTTTCTTGATTTCCTGGATAATAAAGATGGTGGGCTCTCTGACAGCGTCTTTGCTGCAGGTGGTGTTCAGTGACTGGAGCACTTGTCCTCAGGGCAAAGCCAAGTGAGGAAAAAGGTGGGACACTCTCACTTGGGCAGGTTTTCCATGTTTTGACTCCTTACTTAGTTTACCTGATTTCACTACCTTTCCAGGGTCCTCAGGTGTTTGTGTTTTACATTTTGTCCAAAGTCCATATTTGTTTTAATGGGAGGAATATGTTGTAGGAGGCTTAGTTCACTGTAATGGAACTGGTGTGCATCATAACTTTGTACTGATATGTGTTGATCAGGATAAGAGTTTCTGCCTTAAAAGAAATAAGAGTACATTTTAATAAGTGGTTATAAAAATATGGCTTCTTTTACCAGTCAGAATTCTTGTTAGTATGAGCTGGAGGATGCTACAGACAACTTATAGGTGCCACAAATGAGCCACCATCTCATCTAGATGTACTTCAGTTTCTGGTGACTTTTGGTTAGAAATGATGATGGCATTTCCAACATAAATATCCTAGGTTTAAGGATTACTCCAAAATAATTGTTTGCTTTCATATTTTAATGATGTGTTAGACAGAATTCATGTATGCTAATAATGGTAGATGAATCTGCCCTGTTCTTTAAATGTCTCTAGATTGGTATCTTTGAGCATAAGTAATAAGTGTTATTGCTTATTAGACAATGAGTCTGTGTGTGTGTGTGTGTAATTTTTAACTTTTTATTGGTGCATTATGATTGTACATACTGGTGGGATTTGTTGTTACATATTTATACATGCACACAATATAACAATATAATTTAGCCAATGTCATTCCCTGTGAGTCTTGAACCAGATTCTATTCCAGTTGTTATTTTTGAACTTCTAATAATCTGCTTGGATTTGTAATTCTATTTTATGACTGACCATGGGAAGATCTTAATATTTCTCCCATAATCTATAAACAAAATTATTTACTTGGGAAGTTTTTCTTTGGCTATATAATCACCCTAATTTTAAATGTCTTTTTTTTTTTAAATAGATCTGAATATCCTGGACTGGAGTTTTAAAAATGTTGTTGCTGTAGCCCTTGGATCTGCTGTGTACATCTGGAATGGGGAAAACCACAATGGGGTTGAAAACATAGACTTGGGTCTCACTTGCAACTATGTGTCTTCTGTATCCTGGATAAAAGAGGGAACGTGCCTGGCAGTTGGCACCAGTGAGGGAGAAGTGCAAGTATGGGACAGTTTCTTTTCTCATAAAGTTCTTGTGTGATTATCAGAAAACTAAAATTCATTTTTATAACATGTCACTAATGTATAGAGAAACTAGCTTAGAGTGGCACGTAGGGCTGTGGGAAGCAAGGGGAGATACCACTTTGTTTTTTTCCTTTTTTCTCTGAATGGCATTTCAATCGGACTTAAGGGTACTCTGCTTAGTTTCCTCCACAGTATTTCTTTCTATCATATTTAATTTATTGTTGTTTTTGAAACATTTTTTCTATCAAACTGAAGTTGGATTTGTAGACTCCTTAGTTTTGGAACTTTGGAGAGAGAAAGCCCTTTCACTTCTTTTTTACCTGAAGCTGTGATTTGGAGTAGAGCTATGTGAAATGAATGGATTCTTTTTCCTGATAGGCTGATAATTTATTAAATTTTCATCTATGTAATTTTTCATATATCATTCTTATTGTTTATTAACAATGGTTTACACAGTGTTGCCCATGTTCTAGATGATCTAGGAGGGCCACAGAGGGCTCACCTGTTCCTCATCTTCGCAATGATAGAGGATACTATGAAGGTCATGTCACGATTTCTTCTTAATTCAAAGTTGTCATTCCATATCTGGGTCAGATTATCATCTGTGGCTAGTAGGAAAGGAGTCTCTTAGCAGTAAATTAAATTTCTGACTCTAGGAAGTGTTCAGGCACCAAAATTTTATTTATGCAATTAATCAAAAAACTTTAGATTTTGGAGAATTTGGATTTTGGATTTTTGGATTTAGGATCCTCAGGTGATAAAAATTCTATGCTCAACCTGTTCATACATATTTTGGTAACTGAAGTTGGATTCCAAAGTTTGGAAGTCCCACAGCTTAGAAGAAGCTGGAAGTGTGTGTGTGATGACTATCAACCCTTGGTTGTACATTAATACAGGGAGCTTTAACAATAAATGCCATATCCCCAGGTTCTACTCCACCAGTTAAATCAGAAGTGCCAGCATCCAGAGTATTTTACAAAATCCCAGGTGATCCTAGCATGCAGACAGAGTTGAGAACTTCTGGTTATAGTTAGGGTGCTGAATTTTCACTTATTTGATAACAGACTGGCTACATTAAGAGCAATTGGAGGTCAGGTCTTTAAGAAGACAGTAGGCTATGAGAAGGTCAATGCTATGTAATTCTGCTCATTCATTTTTTTTTCAGTTATGGGATGTGGTAACTAAAAAGCAGCTGAGAAATATGCTTGGTCACTTGTCAGTAGTTGGGGCCCTGAGCTGGAATCATTATCTCCTCAGCAGGTAAGAAGTGTCTTATTTGAGCCATCTGTATTTATATCACCAATTGATTATGGGGACTGAGTGAAGAGAACTATAATATTTAAAACCCTAACCAAATGGAATGAAATGAGACATTAGGCTTTTTTTTTTTTTCAGTTCTGAGCCCACCCTCTCAGGTATTCAGGCCTTCTGTGGTGTACATATTCCAGTGCCCACACACACCAAGGCAGCTGTGTGTCTTCAGATTGTTCAGATAAAATGCAAAACTCTCTTCTCTACCAAGTAGTATCTGCTACAGTAACATTTTGCTAAAATCAAGTGTTTATTTCCATTGGCATCAATATTAAGGAATATGTTAGGTTTCTGGGGTATATTTCCAATATACAGACCCACTAAAGTCTGTTGGAAGGAACCTCATAGATGACCCTGTTCAGCGATTCTCAAACTTGAGTGTGAATCAGAATCATCTAGAGAGCTCCTTAAAACACCAATCACTCTCTTCACTCCAGGAATTCCTTATTCATTAGCTCTTAGAGGGGGCTGATCATTTGTACTTCTAGTTTCCCAAGTGATGATGATGCATCATTTTGGGAACTGCTGATGTAGTCTAATTGCTTATTTTTAACTAGAAAAGTAAAGTGATTTGTTCCTATGGTCCTACATAATAGGCTTAAATAGATTTGCTATTAACAATAGCCATTCATCTCTGTAGTGTATTTCCTAAGGTAGACTTATGTTACAAAAGCCTTTAACAATTTCTTTAAGTAGCTGTTGTAGTTAGTTCAATTCCATACTAAATTTCCTTTTGTAGTCTTCATTGTTAAAGATTAGTTTCATTATTCATGAAAAGAATAAACAGATCCTTTCTTATAATGATAGCAGATATTTTTAACTGCTCTGTTCCAGGCATTGTGCTATATTTTTTATGTGTAAAATCTTGATTTAATCCTTGTAATAACAATATAAGGTGATTTTTTTTTAGTACTGGAGATTGAACCCAACTACTGAACCACATCCCTAATTATTTTTTAAAAAATATTTTATTTAGAGAAGAGGGTCTTGCTGAGTTGCTTAGGGCCTTGCTAAATCACTGAGGCTGGCTTTGAACTCATGAGCCTCTTACCTCAGCCTCCTCAGCTGTTGGGATTACAGGTGTGCATCACCATGCCTGGCTTTAAAGTGGTTTCTAATCCCTAATTTTTTTAGGTGAATAAACTGAGATATTAAATGGAAGTCACATGTTTAATGTGGGACAGAGTTGGGATTTGAACCCACTATGGTTCCAGAGCCCATACTGTGAATCAGAATGCTAGTCAGTGTTGTGCCTGAATAAATTTTAAAAAGTGACATTGGGCTTTGAGAAATTCCAAATATAGTTGTAGGAAGTTATTTTCCTGCTCCTTAGAGAACATCAAATTGGCCTTGAAAGAGTTCATTATCTTGGAAAAAGTGGTATGATCTTCATCATTGTTTGGATCTGACTTACTGGGAGTAGGTACTTTATCCACTGATTTTGAATCATTGCAGTTTACAATGACATTGTTAGTTTTAAATTCCTTTTACACTTTAGTAAAAGGAATTTATTGTCAAAACTAAGAGTAGATCTTTTGATTAGTAGGAATATACATTTTAGAAAAAGGAAACAATAAATTTTTATGTCTAATACTTTACTATAAATATATTCTAAAACCATTTCAGTGAGAAAATAAAATATTCTGAGTTTTGGAGAAGTAATATTTCACGGGTCCAGTATATAAACTACTTGCTGGGAAGGTCTGGTAGCCTAAATTTATATTTTCTATGGCTGACTACTTTATTTTAAAGCCATTAGAGACATTTTTCTTTAAATTTTTTTTTTTTAGTTGTTGATGGATGTTTATTTTATTTATTTATATGTGGTGCTGAGAATTGAACCCAGAGCCTCACATGTGCTAGGCAAGCACTCTACTGCTGACCTACAATCTCAGCCCCTAGAGACATTTTTCAAAAGATATTTTTTTCTTTTTTTAAATTTTTTTTCAGAGGTTTATGGATTTTTATTTTATTCATTTATTTATATGTGGTGCTGAGGATCGAATCCAGTGCCTCACACATGCTAGGCAAGTGCTCTACCACTGAACCACAATCCTAGCCCCAAAAGATAACGTTTTGATGCCAGTGAAACTTTGCCAGAAAAACCTGTTTCACTTGTGAAAAGAGTCATTGGGACAGAATATGTCATCTTTATTAAACTAAACAATTTCCATCTATCTTTGGAAGAGTTCTAAAGGGTCTTTCAATAGTTTACCTTGAACTGTGCTTTCCTCCATGTTTTCAAATGCTTATATAGAAACAGGTCTTGATTTTTCTGTTATGTAAACCTGCTACTTTACCTCCCATGCAGTGGGTCGAGACTGGGGCATGTATATCATCACGATGTACGTATAGCCCAGCATCATGTTGGAACACTTTGCCACAAGCAAGCTGTTTGTGCTCTGAAATGGTCACTGGATGGCAGGTTGCTTTCTAGCGGCTGTAGTGATGGGCTGCTGACAATATGGCCCTATGATCCGGGTGCCAGTACACGGGGCCAACCACTGAAAGTACTGCCTCAATCTACAGCAGTCAAGGTAAAAAATCCAAAACCATTCCAGATTTCCATTTCTCGGAGACCACTGAGTATCCTTCATATATAAGAAGAAAACCATTAAGCCAATAGTTTGAAAATTTTTTCTTCTTCCAGAATTTGTTTTGGATTTTGTCATCACTCTCCTGAAAGACAGGGCTATTTATATTTCCCATAAGTCAGACTTTTTGGCTATAGATGACTGAAATCAAAGTCAAGCTCAAGCATAAGCAGAAAAGTAAATTTATTTTCTCATGTAACTGTGGAGTCCTGGGTACATGCAGTTGTTTCAAATCTTGGTTGGATCTAAGATAATTTTGAGCACTGTTACCTGAGTCCTGCCTCTTTGGCTCTTGGATCTGCTTCTCTCTGTTTAGTTCCAGTCTTTCTTCAGACTCTGTTGAGTGGGCAACATGGCTATTGCAGCTTCTGATTCAGGTTCTCCCAGATGGGCTCTGGATAAGAAAGTCAACGTTCCTGTGACTCCAGTGGAAAAATGCCAGGGAGGACTCTGGGCTGCCTTTGGTCACATTTTTATGTTCAGTTGGTACTAGGCTTTAAAAAGAGCTCCTAAATATAAAACTAAGTTAAATATTCTACTTAGTTTTCATAGAAATAACAATTATCTTTAATTATCAATGAAGTAGATGATTTACTTACATATTTACATATGATTTAATTAAATCACACAAATATAATACCACGCTCCCCTGTCATAAACAGGTTTGGTAAAATACAGTGGACTAGATACATCTACGATTTTATCCACAGAAAAAGGGGTATGGAGCACTCTAGAGAATAAACTACAAGCTTATCAAGGGTAGGAATAAATATCTTTTATTAAAGTAATGGAGAACTTTGTAAATTTAACAAGTTGGTTAAATGCAGATTGGTGAAGAGAACAGCTATTGTATACTTAGGTGTATGTTTTTGAAAAATATAATCAAATTTATAAGAAAAACATTTAGGTGCAGGTATTTAGATGGACAAAAGGATAAATAATTCATGTGGGGAAGTGCTAGAAGAATACAAATGCATAGGAAGTAGCTCATTATGGTTAATAAGAGAAATGCAAAATAAATTCCCCTTATCTGTTTTATAATTATTATAATTTCATTAGATATTGAAATATCTACATTGACAAGTATTTAAATTACTAAGATTTTATTAGTAATTTAAAATTCAAGTAATCTTTAACCAGGAAGAATTACTATCTTACATTAAAAAAAAAATAAAAGCAAACAACAAATGAAACACACGAAAACAACAAAAAATTCCATTCCTCTTTAAAAAAAAATCAATACAACCCTATAAAACCAAACCAGAATAAAATAAAAAAACAACAACGTGGGTTTCATCATTAGAAGAACAAAATCAATTAGTGTACATGATTATATAGAATGAGATTATTAAAATGATAACTATAAAAAGTATGTTAAAATATAAAAAACTGTTTATCAAGTAAACAAGAGAAAATTAAAATAGCATAAACCCAGAGTTTTCTACTTTATAAAATATTTTCATGTACAGAAGATGATATGCAAAAATGAGATTAGTTTTTAGGATGACTGATAAATGTATATAGATAAAGATAAATAAAATGTTTGTTAAATATTTTTAAAAGTTATTGTTACTAGTCATATCAATAATCAATACAAATGTGAGATGCCAAATCCTATTTTTCAGAGTTAACTATAGCCATTTATAAAATAAATTTTCTTTTCTGAAATGTGTCAGGATTTGAAATGCATTTTGAGATTTTAGAGTTGTGAGTAATCACTTGTAGCTCTTTTTTGTCTGACCACTACCTGGAACCCAAGGACACAGGTAGATAAACTAGGGAAAAGATGCATTTCAGAACCATATTCTGGGGCACACATGAGCCACTCCAGTAGCAGAGTTTTGCCCCATAGCATGTGTTGCATGTAGTTTTCCCCCACATGTTATTATTGTAATCTTTCTATAATAAAATATCCACAATTGTTAGTGTAATTTGAAGAAGAGTTGTAATGGGTGCCTTTCCTTCCAGAAGTGGCTTCTAGTTCCTGAGAAGTAAACTCTGGAAGGTGCTGTTGCTCCTACCTTTGGGTGGCAGGACCAGAAGAGCGGCCATTGCTGCAGACCCCTGAGTCCTGACCTATCTGTGCTATTATTCAAAACTTTAAAGGCTATGGATTGGTGTCCCTGGCAGTCTGCGGTCCTTGCTGTTGGAGGAGGAATGAAAGATGGATGCCTGCATATCTTGGATATAAATACTGGGAAGAGCATCCAGACTCCAAGCACAAACTCACAGGTAAAAATCTCCTCTGGAGTTCAATTTCAATCTAATTATCTAGTTTCTGGTGAAAATAATTTATGATAAAGCATAGAACCCAAATACACTTCTCCTTACCTACTGAGTCCATAGGGAATTTCAGTCTTCAAGAGTTTCTTTTTTGTAAAACCTCCTAATCTGTAAGTCCAAAGTTAGTTTAATTTATCCCCCACCACCCCATTTCCCTTCTTTCTCACCACTGCTTTGATTGTAGAACTTGACAGCAGTCTGGCTCTTCCTGGCCAGTGATCCTGGTTCCTGTAAACTCATCAGTTTATTGTTTTTAAACCTACTTAATATCCTTGGTCTTTTGTTGCTATGTGATAAACTTTCTTAAAACTAATATAATTTCCTAACACCAGCTGCGAATGGGGGATGGGTGGTAGAAAGAGCACACTGTCTAAAATCCACTTAAGTACATTGAAAATGAATCAGAAATTGCTAAAATTTTATGGTCATCATTGCAGATTTGTTCTTTAATCTGGCTACCTAAGACAAAGGAGATTGCAACAGGCCAAGGTACTCCTAAGAATGATGTGACTCTGTGGACCTGTCCCACTCTGTCCAGGTCAGGTGGATTTTTTGGTAAGTGAATGGGTAAGTAAAATGCTGTGTACCTATAAAAAAGTGGGTTATCATTGGTAGAAAAAACCTGAATGAAGAATTTTTCTCCTTCTGACTTGTCAATGTAGATATTTCAAAAGAGGAAAAAGTCCTACATCTACCCCACCTTAGAGAGTGTATAGATTAGTGTTTCTGAACTTGATTGTAATTGTTCATCATTTAAAATTGTCAAGTCTTCTCTTTGTATTTTTGTATGGATTATACATTTAGCACCATAACATCTTATTTTGAAGAAAACTTAGCAGTGTAGTATCAAGGAAATCTGAAAGGGCGAGAAATTGATATATGCAGGGAAGCCACTAAAACTCATGAGGCTTCCTCTGTGAATATCTGTCCTTTCAAGGCAGACTGCTATTTTTTTTTAATTTTGGCGCTGGGATTTGAACCCATGTGTGTACTAAGCATGTGTTCTATGTCTGAGCCAAACCCCCAGCTCCAGACCTTTATTCTTTCTCAATTTAGTTCTACAAACTTTTATTGTGTCTTTTTTTTCCCCCTTCTGTAGTATGATGACTTTAATTCTTTAGGATAAATACCAAGGAGTTGCATAGCTAGGTCGCATGGCAGTTCCATTCCTAATCTTTAGAGGAACTTCCATGCTGATTTCCATAATGGTTGTACTAATTTACAATACCACCAACAGTGTAAAAGTGTTTCTTTTTCCCCACATCTTCCCCAGTATTTATTATTATTTTTAATATTTATTTTTTAGTTGTAGCTGGACACAACACTTTTATTTCACTTGTTTATTTTTGTATGTGGTGCTGAGGATTGAACCCAGGGTCTCATATGTGAGACGTGAGTACTCTACTGGTGAGCCACAACCCCAGCCCATTTATTATTATTTATATCCTTGATGACTGCCATATTGGGTCTTTTTTGAGACTTATCATGAGAGAGGAAAGAACCAGGTCCTGTCCTCAGGGTCTTGATACTTGAATGTTAGTGGGGGCCTGGGGCAAGTAGGTGTCTGCTTCTACCCAGCCCTGAGAGACAGGAAGACAAAAGTGGTGGCTGAAGAAGGGACAGAGCACTGGCTCCTCTAGATCTCTGATAGTATATCTCGTTTTTTCCTTTCTCCACTTGACCTTGTCTTCTGGTCAATTCTACTATATTCCCAGAACATTGTGGGATGCAGATGATATGCAGGTAAAGGAGAGAGACGATGTTTTTACTCTCATGGAGGCTATACTTTGTGAAAGGAGACATACAGAAAACAAATATATGCAAAATTAGATAGTGCTAATACCACACCTCTCTTTGGAGATTGTGAGAATGTTATTTAGCAATAACAAAATGTTCTTATCAGATAGACTTCCTGCCTCTGCTGGCCAGCCCTGCAGACCCCTGGTTAACCTCAGAATGAACTTTTCTTCAACTCTCACACTGTGTGGTCTGATAAACAAGAAAGGCAACTTTTGACAGAGCCACTTTGGTGACAAGGTACAAATGTAGGAGGTGAATGAATTGATCCCTTCCTTATTTTAAATCATAAGATACAGAACTCCCTGGGATTTTTCAGAGAAATATTTCCAATCAGGCCTTAAAACCAGGTTCTTTACAATTCCAATAGCTGGTAGGGCCTTAGCTAGGTGGAGGTATGGGATAGATACTTGAATCAATTTCCCTATTCTTGGAATAAAGACTTCATACAGGTACATTTTTTTTTTCCTCTTTATTGGCCTTAACAAGCTGTTAAGTACTTTAGTTTTAATTCTTTGGGATTTCTTTTACTATTATCAGAAAAAACTTCAAATAGTTTGTTTAACCTTTTATTTTCTTAAAATATTGGTGGTTGAAGATGTGGATATTTTTGAGCTCTGAGATCCTGGTTTTCATTTCTAACCTAGTCGTTCTTTTTATATGGAATATTTCCCAAAAGTGTTTAGCAGAATGATTGTTACACAAGCACACATCATGTGGTCAGATGACTTTGGAGTTCTGGGTTAAATGAGAACAGTTCTTTCTTAAGGATATCTCAAAGGCTTGGATACATTATATGTAGTGTTATTCTTTCAGAGGAGGTTCTGGTATTTTTTCCAAATAAATCTGGGGTGCATCCTGAGGTACTTGTTCTATGAACCACTCTATGGATCATAGCCCTTTGGCATGGAACTGCTCTGGTGTTTACTTTCTACGTGTTTTCTTCTTGAGACCTTGACTAAGACCTGGATTAGGGACTTCTAAACCTGGGGTTGTGAATCATTAGACTATCAATGTAATAAGTTAAGATCAAAATTAAAAAATGAAACAGAATACTACAAAATAGAATATGATAGTATAAATTGAATGGAAAAAATAGAAAAATAGGTGTTGGTTTGTGAAATTTTTGTTAGAGATATGCACTAAATTTACCTATCTAGATATAGGATTGCTGCATATAATGTAATTTTGACTGTGAGTAATGGTCAAAGAGGAAAAAAAGCTATTCTAGATTATAATCATATCTTTACTAAGCCTCACAGTGTTAACCACAGTCATGATTCTGTAGGGGGTAATTTTAGTTAAAGAGGCCTCACCCATCTGACTACAGGAGAAAGATAACTTATAATTATTCCTACCTCCAAAATAATTGTAACTCCTAAGCTTTCAAACAGGAGTAGTCAGTTTCTAGCTTCCGTGTGAGAACTGGTCTTTGATTTGGTTTCTGAAGTCCATAGCAAATGTGCCAATATGTGGTCTCGTTTATGACCACAACAACATGAAAAAAAACAAAACAAAAACAACATTTCAAGGCTTCTAGTGACAGTATTCTTGGAACTTGGGAGGCAATCGCTAAAAGTGGTTCTTTGTCTGAGATACAGATGGCATTTCCCAACTATACAGTAAGTAGATTGATGTAATTACTGTGAGTTCAACCTGGATTATCCAGGTGAACCCTAAGTCCAATGAAGAGTGTTCTTATAAGAGAATCAGAGGACAAACACACAGAAGAGGAACTATGTGAACTCAGAGACAGAGATTGGAGTGATGTGGCCACAAAACAAGGATTGCCAACAGCTGCCAGACACCAGGAGTGCCAAGGCACAGAAGCCATACCCCAGTCCCCTGAGGGAGTGCAGCCTGCTGACCCCTACATGTTAGACTTCCCATCTCCAGACTGAGAGGATCATCTTCCCTTGTTCTCAGCCATACAGTTTGTGGTCATTTGCTTTGGTAGCCCCAGGATATTGATATGGGGGAGGAGCACCTAGAGGAGAAATGCTTGTCAAAACCTCAGACACTTGGAGATGCTTCTGAGTCAGATCTGGCTGGTGTTTCCCAGCATGCTTTTACAGGAGCCAGCTCTGAGTGGTGGAATGGGGAGGCCTTTTACCCCTGGATGGAATGTATGGCCCCACATGAGGTTGCCTACAGTCTTTAACAACATCCCTGGACACATAGAATATGAGAATATGAACTGTTCTTGTTCTCCCAGGTCACAGAGGCAGAGTGCTGCACCTGGCCTTGAGTCCAGACCAGACCCAGGTGTTTTCTGCTGCAGCTGATGGGATGGCCACCGTGTGGAAGTGCTGCCAGTCACCCAACCCTTCCTAGATGCAGTTTCTTCCTTTTAAGTGAGAGTAGTGATACTGGTTTTTGTTCTCCACGTGATTGTTATGAGTATCCAACATGATGAAGGGCTCTTTCCAGTGTGAACGCCTGCTCCTCTGACCTTCTCTCTCAGGCTACTTTATTAGCCTTGCTTCTTTCTTTGCATCTCCTAGAGATCATCTCTCTGCTTCTCTGCTTCTCTCTGCTTCCCTCTCCCTCCTTCCTTCTCTTCCCTCCTCCCAGACTTCCTCCTTCTCTGCCTTCTCTTTATCTCTTCCTTTTTAAAGATCTATTTTCACTGCTGAAGTCAGAATAATATATACAGCAAACCTTGGTTCTTTCCCATCCGACTTTTCCCTTAAGTTCCAAATTCATATTTCTTACTGCTTCAGATATTTCCTTTTTGAAAGAGTTCAATCTTTAGCTCAAACTCAACCCATTCACTTGAAAAATTCTTATTAAAATCCTCCTACATGCTGTGTGTTATATTATGTGTGCATATTATTTCCTCTAAAATAGCTCTTCTGTAGCATTTCCTTTTTCTCCATGTTTTAGTCTGTTATAACAAAATACACAAAACTGGGTAACTTATAAATAATATGAGTTCATTTAGCTCATGGTATTGGAGGCTGGGAGGTCCAAATGCATGGCACTGGCATCTGGTAAGGGTCTTTACATGGTGTCACCCTATGGCAGAAAGTGAAAGTGACACCCACAAGAGACCAAGAAAGAAGAGGGGGCTGCTTTTATGACAAACCCACTCTCATGGTCATCATCTGACTCCCATAATAATGACAGTAATCCATTCGTGAGGGCAAAGCTGTCATCACCTTTTATTAGACCACAGCTCCCAATCCAGTTGCATTGGAGCTTTCCAACACATGAAATTTGGGAACACATTCAAACCCATTAACATTGTAGGAGAGAAACAGTCATACAAGTTGATTTTATTTGCAATATGATTAAGGAAGTGACAGCAAGTGAAATAAATTACGATCACCTAAACTTCTCCCTTCACAGTCTTCATTATCCAGTTGAGGTGTTTCTCTGAGAGGAGAGTGTAGATGCCAGGCCCTTGAGGGGCTCCACATCTCCCTTGAAGGCCAAAGGCAGTGGTGCCTCTGAAAATGCCCTCGCATAGCAAAGGGCTTCCAGAATCTCCCTGGGGGAAGACAAGAGGGGTTGGGACTGGGGTCAGTTTGTGAAACACGACTAGAGAAATGGAGGAAATTCTTCAGCATTTGTTATAGAGGTAAGAACAACCTTGGGCTGGGATTGTAGCTTAATGGTAGACCGCTCACCTAGCATGGGCGAGGTCCTGGGTTCGATCCTCAGCACCACATAAAAATAAATTAATTAAAGATACTGTGTCCAGTTACAATTAAAAAAATAAATATTAAAAAAGAACAACCTTGACTTAACTGAAAATTAATGCGTAAAAAATCAAAATGCTTTGAATTATTTTAATATTTTAAAACATGAAAATGGAAATTTTGAGGTTGATTCTCTGCTTCTAGCACAAATAGTAGCTTCCAGGCCCCCTCCTGTTTGTCATCTCCCCTAAAAACTTAGTGACTCAAGGGATACGTTTTCAAATGCAGATGATACAATAAGGCAAAGAATAAAAGCCATGTTTTCTGGTTCCTCTAGCAGACAACTGTCTTCACACAAAAACAAAACCAAAATCCTTTTTTGGAAGCTTGGGTTTATGACTGCATAAAATAAGGAACCATCTGAGAAATTGGATTCCTCCCTAAATAGATTGATTTCCCCTGCCTGTTATAGCACCTGGAATTTGCAGAATTAGTCTTTTATGCTTAACTTATCAATGAGCAGCCCAGGGTATTGAGAGAGTAGGGTGGGATTGCTAAGTGCCATTGGTAGGGATTGGCTGGTAGGAGGGGACTAGCATTTGGGGAGACTGCTGTAGCCTCAGGATGTGGTATATGAGATCCAAAAGTAGGAAGTTCTGGGTTCCTGGGTGCCCAAAGTGGAGTATGTTGAAGTACGTGGGAGGGAGGCTAAAGAAGAGAGTACAGAAGAGTGCTAAAGACAAATGCCATCTTTCCCTGGGATCTGGCTAGCCTTGGTCCTGAAGGCAGGATATGGTACCTGGGAGACGGAGACCTCTGGCTCTCTCAGTGTCTGGTAATTCTCCAGACATGCATTGCACACACTTCTGAGAGTTCCTAGGGTCTTGGTGAAAGGTGGGAAATGACAAACCAGTACCTAAGCTTAAAAATCTGGAAAGTATTTTTTCTGTTCCTGTCTTTAAACCGAGTCTGTCCCTTTTTTTCTCAGGGGACCTTGGGATAGAAGCTTACATTTTCTGTGGTGTGGCTCAGACTTGGAAGTTGTTTGCTGGGAATTTACTCAGTTCTAGGAAGCTCTGAGGTTTAGCCTAAGGTCCTCAGACAGGCTTGGGAATGACAGGCTTTCAAGATCGCTCAGGTTAAATGACAGAGGAACTTTTGGGGTGGTACTGAGGATGGAGAGGAGACCCAAGGCCTTTGAGGAGTCCCGATTTAAGCTCTCCTCAGTGTTGTATATATCTTCAAGTTTAGATCTATTTGAGGTAATATGAAAAATGAGAAAAAAGCATTGCTTCTTAGTGGTTTTTGATACAAAACCAGGATGATGTAGTAGGTCAACCATGCACTAGCAGAGAACTTCTTATTTTCAATTGCTCATTTAAGCTGAGAACATTAATATATTTCACTGGGGTTTTATCAAATTCTTTGAAAAATCACTAAAACCCTGTAGAAGTTGTGACAAGACAAAGCAGGCCATTACATTGTATCTGCATGCCTTACTCCATAGCTAATGTGTGAGATCTTATTTTACTTACATTGCATGAATCTTTTCCACCACGGGGGCTTCCAGCACAAACCATGTTCAGTCCAATCACAGGTTTAAAATCATAGTGATCTTTATCATTGCAGATTTTTCTGTCTATGATGGTAATATTGACTTCTCTCAAAGTATCTGATGGAGGTGACTCATTGTGAACCATGCCCCACCCTGCAACTCGACACACAGTTCCTGGTTTCACATCGTCCCCCCTTTCAGGTAGTTGAAGGATAGCCACATTTTTATTAATTTTTGCACGTTTCTTCAGCTGTTGGATGACAAGCATAATGAGTTAATAGAAATAGATAAACATTGACTTTTTTTTTTGTACCAAGGATTGAGCCCAGGAATGCTTAACCACTGAGGCTAATACCCAGCCCTTTTTATTTTGAAACAGGATCTTGCTAAGTTGCTTAGCACCTCACATAATTTCTGAGGATGGCCTTGAACTTGCAATACTTCTGCCTCAGCCTCCTCAGCTGCTAGAATTACCGTGTGTGCCACTGTGCCTGACAAACATTGACTTTTTTAACTGAAATTCTAGCCCAACCCACTGTGACCCCCTTGCATGATATTATACAGTAGAGGCACTGAGGAAAGGCTTCTATGAAGGTGGCCATATTGAAGAGGGTTCTAAAACAAAAGAACATGATCAAAGGCACATACCTGTAGAAGTTTAAGATCACCTTCATGTGTGTATTTATCATAGCATGGGTAGGGAAACTCTTTCTTGACAGACATTATCTGTTTTTCTGTCTCATGCTTGGTAATTGAGTGAGCCCCAAGAATGACCTGAGATCTTTTGCTCCTGGAATAGAAACAACACTATTTACTGGGTTTATTCTTTAATCAGAACCAGAGCATATTATGTGTTGATCAATTTCATTGTATTGTTTGTAAATATACTTCTGTAGAAATACTTCATGGCTCAAAATAAAATGTGTGCTTTAAAGGGTAGAAAGTAAGATGCTTATGAATCCATTGTCATCATTGTCTTAGTTTTATGTTGCTGTAACAAAACACCCAAGGCTGAGTGACTTATAAAGAAAAGAGGTTTTCTTTTACTCACAGTTTTGGAGTCTAAGAGCATGGCATCTGTTTAGCTTCTGATGAGGGCCTCATGCCATGTCAACTCATGGCAGAAAAGTGGGAAGCAGGCATGTGTAGATGAGAAGGTGTGTGGAAGTGTAGGTACAGAATGGAGGAAGCAGAAAGTGAGTTGAGGAAGCTGAACTTGCTTTATAATAACTGCTCTCGTGGTAATTAGTCCACTTTCAAGGCTGCATTAATCTCTTCATGAGGGTAGAAACACTATGATCCAAGTACCTCTTAAAAGTCCCACTACCTCTCAATATGGTTACACTGGGGACCACATTTCCAGCACATGAACCTTTCAGGGACAAACCATATTCAAACCATGACAGTCATCATCATCTACCAGCTTATTTATAAAAAGCTAAACTAGGTTCATTGAAAAACAAACGAGAATTCCATGACAGGAAAGTCAAACTGTGTTCTAGTTTGCCCTCTCCCCTCACCCTGTTTAGCTGTGATAGAGAATTAGGCTGCATAGTATAGGAAAAGAAAATTTTCAGTAATCCAGTGACAGAAGCAAAAGGCACTAGATATAGTTGTAGGTTAAGGCACAGAAGAGATCTTTATAAAAGAACAATGAACTCGTCTTAAATAGAACAACTTCTAGCAACAGATGGCTCCAGAAAGGCCCCTGTTTGCATGGTGTTGAGGAGGTGTGTATTGCAGGGATGGTGATCTGAACGAGGGGCCCAAGTTTCATTCTGGTTAACAAAATCAAAATACTCTCTTAACAATTAATGCTTAGTGCTATTACCATTCACAGTCTGTTATAAATTATGCCAACTGATATTCATACTGTCCTTTTACCATCACATCAGCTGGGATTGGTCTCACTCAAGACATTAGAAATGTGCTTTTCATTAGAGCATAGGGAGCTGTCTGAATCTGCATGGTCCTGTATGGTAGCTAATAGCCACATGTGGTACCTAAGGACTTCAAATGTAGCTAGGGTGGGACTGAGGAAGAAAATTTGCAATTTTATTCAGCTTTAATTGATTTAAGTTTGTATAATCCCATGTGGCTCTCATATTAGACAGCCCAGGTTTAGAGGCTTGGTTTAGAGAGTGGAGAAAAGAGTAGGCCTGGGAAGAGTTTCAAGGTAATAGCTGACAAGGGCTAAAGGATGGCTGAAGGAAAGAGAGGGGTCCATTGAGGGACACAGGAAGGCATTGGAAACAGATTTTCTTTATCTGATGGCTCTACCAGCCCGCTAGGCAGTGGAACTTTAACCCTTCC